CACTCAATAAGTGCATTAGTCCCTTAATCGTTTGTCATCAATAAACCAAAACCCACTAGGGGCATAAATGCTCTATCAGTCTGAAGCTGGGATATCTCCCCCACACTTATTCAAAACCTGAGCTTTATTAAACATAAAACAAAAAACAACTTTGGCAACCATTGGGGTTAACACCAATGAGCTATATTATTCATAGCAAGTGCTTATATGATTGGAAAAATAAAAACCAAGCACCTACTACCATTTTATTCTCCTTCCCCATCTCTATGAATGCACGCTTGATTTTAGCGCACAACCGCGATTAAGGGTATCAACATTATTTCTAATTTCAGCGAGTTCTACCCCTAGCTCCGCATTGTGATTCCTAAGCTCTATGTTTTCCTTACGGAGTTTCTTCACTTGAGCGACGAGCTTATGGATCGAGGGCTCCGGCGACTTTACTTCATCTTCTTGATTTTGGCCGGGAACCCTCACGATTGGAGGGTGTTGGTATTTCTTAACGACATTACTATAAATATAATTCCTAGCAATGATACAGAAATACTTCTGGTATATTATGGTTACAAAGTTCATCCACAAGCGTACGGATATACAATTGTAGCATTTCACCCGAGAGTATTCCAAAGGTATCGTATTTATTTTATAACATTGTAGCGCACGGATGTTTCAGTGCAAGAATGGGGATCATCGTTCACTGGAAGCTGTCTACTACATTCCTAAACTGCATAAGAACATCATCAGTGTGGTGCGGCTCGACGCGCACGGCTACGACGCACACATCCACCATTGTGTCTGACGCTGCAGGATCCTACTGCTCTTCTGCTGGCCAAGGTAAAGAGGTCCCCCAGCTACCTGTATATTCTGAATTTGAACTTGGCTAGCCTAGTTTGTCTGGCAACGACGAACACCGACGTGGCATGGCGTTGGCATGCCCGTTTCGGTCATCTCAATTTCCAGTCCCTTCGGAGGCTGGCACAAGGCGATATGGTCCGTGGACTCCCGTCCATTGATCATGTTGATGAGCTTTGTGATGGGTGTCTCGAGGGCAAACAACGGCGAGCGCCGTTCCCGGAGGAGGCCAAGTACAGAGCACAAGTGCCACTCGAGTTGGTGCATGGAGATTTTGTGGCCCGATCACGCCAGCGACACCGGGCGGCAGGAAGTATTTTCTGCTGCTCGTCGACGACATGAGCCGCTACATGTGGATTCGTCTCCTCTCCGGCAAACATGAGGCGGCGGCGGCAATCAAGCAATTTCATGCTGGTGTGGAGGTGGAGTCCGGGAGGAAACTCCGGGCACTACACACTGATCATGGGGGAGAGTTCACATCCGTGGAGTTCACGGAATACTGCGCCGATCGTGGTGTTCGGCATGATCTCATGGCCCCCTATTCGCCGCAACAAAACGGGGTCGTGGAGCGCCAGAACCAGACCGTGGTTGCTACGGCGCACTCCATGCTCAAGGCAGTGGGACTACCTGCACACTTCTAGGGCGAGGCGGTTGTGGCGGCCATATATCTGTTGAATCGTTCGCCCACCAAGAGCGTGGACGGCATCACGCCGTATGAAGCTTGGCACGGTCGAAGGCCCGCGGTCGAACATCTGAGGGTGTTTGGCTGCGTTGGATATGTGAAGACGGTGAAACCAAACCTAAGGAAGCTTGATGATCGAGGTACGTGCATGGTATTCATTGGTTATGAACAGGGATGAAAGGCGTATCGCATGTATGACCCTGTGGCATGCCGTGTCTGTGTGTCGCGGGATGTCATCTTTGATGAGGCGGCGACATGGGCGTGGCGCGATCCAGAGATCGCTCAAGCTGGACAAGAGGAGTTCACTGTGGAGTATTTTGTTGCTCCGACGGCTGGGGAGCGCGTTCCTTGCGTGGTGTATGAGGGGAGCACATGACAAGCAGAGACTGTGCCGAGCTCGCCGGCCACGCCTGACACGACGATTGTGCTCGGTTCACCTGCATCAAGCTCAGCTGTTGGAATTGAATTCTGTACTCCCCCAACTGATGCTAGCAGAGGCACTGACGAGGCTCCACGACGCTACCGAACAGTGGCGAACACGCTCGCCACGATGCAACCTATTCTTGATTTTGATTATAGTGAAGAGTGTTTGCTATCTGAAGAAGAACCAACAAGTTTTCTTGAGGCAGAGAAGCAGAGTTGTTGTAGAAAGGCAATGCTCGAGGAGATGAAGTCAATCGAGAATAACTCCACCTGGTGTCTCACTAATCTGCCACCAAGACACAAACCAATTGGCCTAAAATGGGTGTTCAAGGTCAAGCGTGATGCATCTGGAAAAATACTGAAGCATAAGGCAAGGTTGGTGGCAAAGGGATACGTGCAGCAACATGGTGTGGACTATGATGAGGTGTTTGCACCTGTGGCAAGGATGGAGACAGTGAGATTGCTGGTTGCAATGGCTGCACAAGAAGGCTGGGAAATTCATCATATGGATGTTAAATCAGCCTTTCTGAATGGTGATCTGGAGGAAGATGTTTATGTTGTTCAGCCACCAGGTTTTGTCGATGAGGAACACCCTGACAAAGTGCTCATACTGCAGAAAACCCTTTATGGGTTAAAACAAGCTCCAAGGGCATGGAATGCTAAGCTCGATGAAAGTCTAGTAAGTTTGGGTTTCAGGAGAAGTGTGACAGAGGGAGCAGTTTACACTCGTGGAAGGGGAGATGCCAGACTTATTGTAGGTGTGTATGTTGACGATCTGATAATCACAGGAGCCAAGGTTGGTGAGATCTCTAAGTTCAAGGAACAGATGAGATCATTATTCAGCATGAGTGATTTGGAACTCTTGACTTATTATCTTGGTATGGAGGTGAATCAGAGTAGTGAAGGAGTTACTATGTCCCAGTCAGCTTATGCAACAAAAATACTTGAGAAGGCCAGGATGCAAGGTTGCAATTCTTCTCAGGTTCCTATGGAGAATAGACTGAAATTGAGCAAGGAGAGTAAAGGGGAAGACATTGATGCCACACAGTTAAGGAGTATTGTGGGGAGTTTGAGATATCTACTTAACACTAGACCTGACCTGTCCTATTCAGTGGGGTATGTGAGTAGGTTTATGGAGAAACCAACTACTGAACATTGGGCAGCAGTAAAGCACATATTGCGCTATATTGCAGGAACTCTGAATGTGGGAGTAAAATTCAAAAGAGAGCAGGGTCAGGGATCTCTGCTGGTGGGCTATAGTGATAGAGACATGGCAGGGATGTTGATGATAGAAAAAGCACAACCGGGGTTTTATTCAAGTTTGAAGAAAATTTGATAAGTTGGCAGTCCCAGAAACAAAAGGTTGTGGCCCTTTCCTCATGTGAAGCTGAGTATATAGCTGCCACAACTGCAGCTTGTCAAGGTATTTGGTTGGCACGGTTGATTGGTGAGCTGCAAGATAAGGAACCAAGTTGTGCAATTTTGAAAGTTGACAACAAATCTGCTATAAATCTCTGCAAGAATCCAGTTCTTCATGATAGGAGCAAACATATTGATACAAGGTTCCATTTCATCCGAGAGTGTGTTGAACAAAAAAAGATGGAGGTGGAGCACATCTGTTCTGAAGAGCAACTTGCAGACATCCTGACTAAGCCACTTGGGAGGATTCGGTTTCAAGAACTGAAGAACAAGCTGGGCTTGGTTCAGACTTAAGATGCTTCAAGATTAGGGGGAGAATTGTTGACGAAGCTGATATAATCTTGAGCATTGATCCACTTTGTATCTGATGCATGTTAGTTTGCATGTAATTTTGTGTTAGCCGTGCATGTAGGCAAGACTGAAAATAGTCCGGAGTACCGGAATTCAGTTGAGCATTTATCGTTGTTTTCTTTTCTGTTGCTGACCGGATCAGGAGCTAGATCGTGGGATGGCGCGTTTGTTATGATCCTGAAAACTCGGTTTTTAGATGCATGTAACAAACTCTCAGGGAGGATAATAAATAGAAGAGAAAACCCCTGAAAAGCTGCGCAAGTTTTAAGCAGCACAAACACTCTGTTTCACTCTGTTTTTCGTTTCTCTGAATTCCAGTTTCGTTCGTGAACTGTTGCTGTTTCGACAACCGTCAGACTTAGCTGTTTTCTTCCACAGATTGTGAGTGAGTGATTTTGCTGACAACTCATCAGTGGTAACTTGTGGCTCCACATGCCGTTGGAACCAAGTATTGTACTTTCTTTGAAATCTCCACGATTGCTCCTTTAGTTCTCTGGCACTTAAAAATTGCTGGTATGTATTCTACGAAAGCAACAGAAAATGCCAGGAGCAAGAGCAAACAGGTTAGAACTCATTGAAAGTTTCTAAAGGCAGGCAAGGCAGATGAAAACAATTGAAAAAAAAAATATGGAAATTTACTTGCTGATAGTAGAAAGCAAAAAACAAAACCGTAGATAATGAATCGCCACCCATTCTTTCCCAAAAGGCAGGATTTGATACTACAGGTGCCTGAATTTGCGGGAAGCTGGCAGGGGTGACTGCAGGGTGCTTCTGAACATAACACATGACAAAGAAGTTAGAACAATACGCCAGAATATTTTGTTCATAACAACTCTACCGAAATGATCTTACTGGAATATAATTTTTGACTCGCTCTGAGTCCTTTGGTTGTGGAAGCCTATGGTAAGCAGCTTCGAGCATCGCAGATTATAAAGTAGATCATGACTAGTACTTGCAGAAGCTACACTGAGGTTATCACCTATTGCACCAAGATGATCAGATACACTCCTCCGGCCAATAACACCAACACCAGATGATGACATGCCAGGTTACAAAGACTGACCATCTGGTAGATCAGGGTCTCTAGATAGTTGAGTGCCTTCTGTTATGGATGCTGTGTTCAAATATAATGAGTTAAGCAAAAAATGAAAAAAACTAAGATACTTTCATCATTAATCTGAAACATTGCTCTTCTAAACGGTTCAGACACCTAGGCAAAACAAATTGTAGAAGCAGGGATAGTGAACCACAAAGCCCAGACAAGGGAAAAAAAAGATAAAGATAGTGAACGATGAAGTATGCAATATTGTTTCTGCAAATCTGATAGATCATATATGAACAACATCTCAATGGTACTCAAAAAGCCAAAAATCCTCAAACTGAAAAATTCTCTCAAAGTCAGAAATCTTCAAACTGAAAAATTCTCTCAAATACGTCTACCCTTACCCCTAGCTGGAGGATCTAAAACCCAAACATCTTCAGAATAACGCACATTACTTTTTCTAATCCTATTACTAGTCCTACTAGTACTTCTTTCTACATTGGCTTCATCTTCATCTTCATTGGACCCTCCTTCATCAAATGAGGATACGCCTCTATCTCCTAATTAAAAAAAATACATCAGATTCAATACGAATAGTGTTAGAAAAGATCTGTGAAACAAAGAGAGAAAAAATATACCATCAATCTAACCTCCAGGCCTATTAATGCAGTCGATATCAATCAAATCTGACGGGGCGCCCTGTGCAGCCACGGCCTGAGCCTCCACAAATGCTGTAGCGGCTCCAACACGCCCAAAGATCTCCCCAAAGCGGGCGAACAAGCCCGTAATTGCTGCGGCGGCTGAAGCTGCGCCTCCTTGGGCTGCTCTCACTGCCTGAATAATCTGTGACACAAGTTGTAGAAGCTGGCCTAATGTAATGGTGCAAGTACTTATCTGCTGTGCGGCTCGCCCCAATGCTTCCACAAATAGCACTGCCTGTTCAGCCGCATTTGCCTGTACCGTCACCACCTCTTCAGTTGCTGCTTGCGCTGCCTGCGCCGCTCCAGAAGCAGCCTGCGCAGTGGCCAGGGACCCAGCGGCAGCACTTGCAGCTGCTTCGGCGGAGCTTTGGGCCTCGGCCGCTGCCTTCTTGGCATTCTCAATGGCTGACTGATCTGCGGCATTTGAGGAGCCCATCTCCACGTCATTGTCTGAAAATACATATGGGTTACGTTAAGCCATGAAAGGAAAGCAAATCCTAAGAATTGATAAAAAGGAATTTGGTTGAACAGGAGACCACTTACTCAACTGAGGCTTCCAATACTTGCGAACCACAACAAACACCGCCACCAGCAGAAAACCAGCCACAAGACATAGAAGACCAATGAGCGCCTGATAGATTCTTCTCAGCACCCCCGTGCTCGGCGCTGCCGCACTTGCACCGGCTGGCAGGGCCGTGCTCGGCGCAGTAGTAACTGGTGGTGGCGGAGGCAGCGTAAACACTGGCGTGGATGGTGGCAATGGTGTAATCATGGCAGGCGGAGGCGGCGGCTCGACCATCGGTGCTGAAATGACCGGTTCAACCGTCGCCGGTGGCAGTGGAGGTGGCATCACAGAGCCATGCAGCGGCGGCGGAGAGGGAGACAAAGCGGGGACCTCTTCACATCCACCAGCGGGTAGAACAGGAAACACATTGCCCTCGCATTTCCGATAAAGAGAAAGGATTCGGGTTGAATTCAACCCCATCTCAGCCACCTCCCTGTTGTTGGCGAGCGAACAGAGGCATAGAGGATCTCCACCATCAAGGGACCTCTTCAAGGCAAAACAGCATCTTGCATATATGCCTGTCCCACCGCACAGAGAAGCCACGGCGTGGGCCTGCTGCTCGCACTTAGCTAGAGCCACCATGGGGCCAACTGCAAAGGCCACCATGAGGGCTAGAGCTACAGCGAGAACCCGGCGTGGATGCGGAGTTGCCGAGGCTGCAAACTTCATCTTTTTCATCAAGTCATGAGTATGCTGAAAGAAGAAATAACATGCACTCATTTAATTGAAAATTTAATTGGCTAAAAACTTTTGTTTAAGCCGCAAAAAGGCGTTACCTGCAAGCCAGTAGCATTTATGTTCGAATCTATTTCTCCAAGAAGGCCAATCTGACTGTCCAGAACAGTTCCTGCAGGATAAGATCGAAACTGAATAATAAGCCAACCATCAAATGCTTCAAATAGTAACTTATGTACATTGTCAGTAATAGCCAACAATTTTTTCACTCTTGTGACTTCCTTGAGCATATCTGACAGGCAGTTCTGTTGTTCTCCTTTGAACATCCCTCAGAGCATTCTCCACATTGCACATCTGAATCAGGCCGCCGCAGAACCTTGGTTCCTCAGTTCCTCCATTGATCATTTCCTAAAAAAATAAACAAGTAGATCAAGTACAAAGATTATGATTCTTAGAAATTGGGCTATTGGGCTCTGAGCCTCTAACACTAAAGAGATAGTCGGTCTCAGAAATTAGAACCAACATCTTGAAAAGCCCAACAACAAAATAAGAAACGAAATTAGAAATTACTAGTATTATTAATAAACAAGAAACGAGCCTACAGAAATGCTTACACACGAAACAAACTATTGAAAAATTCTAAACGAAAAAACGTTATTGGAAAAGATTACGTTCCTTGGAACAACGCATCCACAAACATGAAGTCTTTAAGAACGACTGCTTTCTTTCGCACGGAATAAACTAAACGTTTTAAATAAAAGGCCCACGGAATCATGAATGAGAACGGCATCCCGACTTCCCGAGAAAGACAACATATGATTCTACACGAAGACGACTGCTATTTCGGCATGGAATAAGCTTTTTAGATAAAAGCTAGGCGTACAAAATTATGAATGAGAACGACATCCGACAAAAACAACAAATTTTTTTTTCATAAATTTTGCCAAAAAAGAAAAGGCAGAAAACACAGAACCAAAAGCTAAACAGTATTAACCGAGTTTTTAAACGTGGATCCACCACTCTACTTCTGCAACCATGCAAGCGACAGGCTTCAGTGTTGCTGCAAGATCAGAAAAAGGACAGCGGTCGCTAGTCCGCTGCTACAAAAAAAAAAAACAAGAATCGATCTGACAACGATTGGATGCAAAAGTTCACGCGAAGGCTTCGCATGCAGGGAGAAAGTTTAGCATGTCCCTTGCAAGAAAACAGCAAGAAGCTCACGGGAAAGCATCCACTTGCACAAAAATGGCAGTCTCCAAAAGACAAAAAAAAAAACAGTCAAAACCAGAGGTAGAACCGACCGGGCATGGCACAGAGAGGTTTTGTCTTCTTCCATCTATCACACAAAAGAGGCAAAACTTGTAAACTGTACCGAGCAACCTTTGCTTGCAGAGGGAAAGACCCGACCAGCTCCCACGAGGGAGAGATCAGGCCCACCCATGTAGATCAGGCCTACCCTTGTACGAAATCAGTAACTCCAAAACACAGTCCGAAATGTTCCCAAGCAAACAACGACATGCGTAGTACATATGTACATGCATATCACCAAATTAAACGAACACGACGAAAGGCTTCGAACGGGTGAGCTGCGTGTGCTGCGGCCATGAGATTTCTCTCGACATCGGCCAGTTCTCTAGCACCAAATTAACAGCAAGGACCGAAGTGGAAAAGGATAAAGAAACGGAGGATAAAAAAAGGGACAAGAAACTTTATGCAAGAAAGGAGACGCGAGGACTCTCCGACCAAACACCCACAAACTAGGATGAGATCGGAAGATTCTCTCCATGCAAAAAACTGCAAACGAAAGCGGCAGAGAAACGAACTTGCAACCGAATTCGGAAGAACGAAACAAAATCATCCTGAAGCAAGCAAGAACCGTGCGTGTATACATAGAACATGCATAGATAAATTAAATAAATTTGACAATCACAAATACACAGAAAGATGCATGGATCGAGTATACGTAGATCTAGGGCTGGGAAGGGAAGGAAGAGGGTGAGGTGAGCTCACATCGTTGTGGAAGAGGTTGTTGTCGACGACGTTGTGGAGGAAGTTGTTCTCGTGGATCATCACCTTCTTCCCGGCCGCGCCGTACCCCGGTCGCCCAGGGTGGGCGGGCCCCTTCTTCGAGACCGCCGCCGCCGCAGCGGGTGGCCCCAGCGCGTTCTCCGTCACGAACAGCTTCTGCTCGACCTCCTTGGCCAGAGCAGCGGCGAACGGCGCGGCCGCCTGTGGCGCAGCCACCTGCGCCGGCTGGTACGGAGCCGGAGGCGCGCGGATGCCACCCAGAGAAGGAGCCCCCGGGGAGGGCGCCCAGTACACGACCTGCGCCACCCCGGGCTGGTACGCGCCCTGGTGCAGCGCCGTGTAGACGACGGCCGGCTGGCCCGGCTGAGGAGGAGGCCCCGGCCACGGCGTCATCCCCGGCGGGGCTCCACCGCCACGGCCAGGGTCGCCGCCGAGGTAGGCCATGGCAGAGATGTGGAGGAAGCTAGGGAACGAGATGGAGGTGAGGCCGGATGGGTGGGGAAGGGAAGGGTGGAGTGGCTATGATTCGAATGGAAGGGAGGGGGGCGTTTATATGCAAAGGAAGTAATCGACGAGAAACCCTAGACCGGTGGGAGGGAGAAAGGGGTGGTGACCTTACCCGCTCGGTGACTCTATGCTTGTCTGTACGGAATAACTGGCTACTACTCAAGACTAGGTTTTCCTAATCAGTGCAACCTGGCACGAGTTTATTGTGGTGAATTAATTATTCTGAGGTTGTTTTTCGTCAATTTATTAGTTTTGGTGTTACGATCTTGTTAGAACGAACTAAGCTATGATATAACTATAAACGTGAAGTTATACGTATAGTCAGTAGTTGGCATACGTGCAGCACCGTTCCTAATCTTCAAAGTTAAACTGCAAATGGCGAAAGGCGTACGTTCGTGTAGTGACCCATTAAATTTGACACCTCCTTCCGTTTTGATTTCTCGAAATATTTGAAGTTATATATGTTTGGAGTGCTATTTATGATATACATTGTCCCGATTTGACAAACTAAATACTAATATACAGATTGGAATTATTGTATGCCAGCTGGAAAGAGCAGATTATAATTAATGTAGCCAAGGGCTTGTTCAATTTGATGCAAAAAAAAACCTTACCAAATTTTGGTAAAGTTGCCAAAAAAGTGGCTATATTTAGTTTGCTGCCAAATTTTGGTAACTATATAAGAAATCCTGCCAAAATTTTGGTAACTATACCAAGTTTTTTTTGGCATCAAAGTGAACAGGCCCCAAGTATATTCTCATTTTTCCCAGCGATCGAGTCTCTCTAATTGCTGCCACGTAATGCCTCTGTAGTCTTGCACAATTAATTTCGATCGCTATGGCCAGCAAATGTTTAATTTTGTCAATCGAACAAATCAAATAGATCGTGTTTTAATCAATCGAACAACTCGGTCACAACGGACAGAAAAAAGAAGATTCCGGAATGACCCATGGGCGTCTCATGCGCCTTGGCCTTATCTCTCGTACGTGCTTGGGCCACATGAGATACTCACAGCCACAGCTGTGCCCAAGTTTGAAAAAAACTGTCACGCCGTAGTTAATGGCTACCAAGCTTTTAATCATAGGTAGATAAATAATAATCTGTACAACTTTACAGTGAAATTAAAACCATATGGCCTGATCATCATCGGCATTTCGGCGTACGTGTCACGTTTCAAAAACGATCAGGCCAGACGGTGTACAGTGTACTGCTCTCTCTCTCTCCCCTTTGCAAAGCGATCGTCTTGATTCGTATCAGCGTTTTGGCTCACATGCGTCCAAGCGGTCGGCCCAGCTCATGCATGCATGTATACGTTGCAGCGCACAGTGCGTTCACTGCTCGAAAAGCAAAAGGAAAAGGCAGCCAAATTTTGGTCATCTCTCGGATCCCTCGTCTCTATAGTCCAAACCGGAGTTAAAAAGTGTGTGTGGGAGGTATAGTAGTAGCTGTGGCGCCTGTGTGATTTTAACTGCAATTGAGTTATGTATTCTGTAGTAGCTCGGTTTTTGTCATCAGTAACCTACTAACCTGTGAGTAGAAACAGTTTCATTAGCACATGAATGTACCTACATGCAGCAAAATTTACTGCACTCTCTATCCCGTTGCGTTTTTACCACGTTTTTTTACCTCTAGTATAGTGCCGGGAAAATGGAGTAGTACCCTGGAAGGAGAGCTGCACAGGAGGCGGTCCTCACACAAAAACTAACTCACTCTCTCTCTCTCTCTCTCTCTCTCTCTCTCTGTGTGTGTGTCTGTCTCTGTATCTGTCTCTGTCTCTGTCTCTCTGTGTGTGTAGGGGAGAGGTTGGTGGTGGACTGGTGGTCAAGCAAATGCATGCACACACCATCTCTGCCTCCGATGCACTGTGCCGTGGCGGTTTCCGCGGGAGGAAGGGGAGGGGACAGCGGCCGGAGGCAGCAGCGTACACTGCGGCGAAAAGCAAAAGGGAGGGTGGGGGCCTGGGAGGTGATCCGATCGGCCAGGGCTGGCACTGGCAAAGTGACAAGTTGTGAGAGAGAGAGAGAGAGGGGTTGTGACCCGGGCGTGGCGCTGCGTAGTACCCAGCTGCCGCGCGAGGGCCCCACCAGCGCCGATCCCGACCCCTGCGACCACTAGGCCGACCGCTGCTGCGCCCAAGATGGAGAAGGCGGCGCCGACCCCAGCTACTCTGCGGAGGAGCCAGAGGACGACTGCTCAGAAGGCCCCTTCTCCAGCGCATGCCGCCACCACTCCTGCGTCTCCGCTTGCCTGCCACCGCTCCGCCCGCCGCGGGAGAGAGGGAGGGAGGAGGGAGAAGGAACCGGCGATGAGGGAGAAAGGACAGGAGGGAGGAGGGGAGAGAAAGAGAGATGTAAGGGAGAGACAAGGACCATGACATAATTTTTGAATGACTAGCAACAGTGCCTGTGCGTTGCAACGGGAAAAACACTGTTTGGTAGTCACACCTTGAAAACCTCAAATCGGTAAAAATCAAGTCTAATTTGATATATTAACAGATAGGTAGAACCGAGTCTAATTTGATGAATTAGCATACAATTTATGATTTAGTTTTAGATTTAATTTTTCGAGCCTACTTAGGAGCTTATCCGACGGACTTTAATTTAAAAAATCTGAGCCATATTGTTTGATCAAATTTGCTTTCGGCCCAGGTCTTCCTAGCCGGCCCAAACTTGGGTTGACCCATCTTCGGCGAGCTGAGTCAATTCGACAGCTCGCAAGCCGAGCAGCTGAGCGTGGCCCACATATGCGGGGACGGTCCGATGCACTTCCGTGGCCCATTAGGCGCAGTGTAATCAGCGGCGGCAAAGGCCCGACGCTGGGTAAATCTGAGCCATCCGATCTAATGGACGGCTCCGATTGTTCCCATGCCGGAGAAGCGCCGACCGGGAGACAGGGGCAAAACCCTAGCTCCCAAATCCCTTGTCTCCGGCGACGAGCGAGCAGAACGATGGCAAAGGCGACGACGGTAGTCCGCTGAGCGAGTGAGCACGTGCAGTGACGACCGCCGAGCGGCTCCTGCTTCGCCGGCTAAGGGTGCACTCGAGGGCACCGCAAAGCTGTGCCACGGTGTCGGCGGTCCGACTAGGCGGGCGCGCAAACAACGATGAGCACCGAGCTGCCTGGACCTTTAAGATAAGATAAGATTTTCACGGACGACAGAAGTAAATTGAATCGGACTTTTTTTTTGTTTTAATGATTTTTTAAGTAGTAGAGATAGAAATAGAGAAGATAGAGATAAATAGTACCGTGTTACATGTAATAGGATTCGATTTTTTTACCGCGTCACATATAATTCTTTTTTTTAATTGGACAGAATTCGTTGTTTATTTTTTTCACCTTTTTTTTACTGCGTTCACGGAATCGGATTCATTTTTTTGCCCAGTTTTTTCACCCGTTTTTTTCGTCCGGTTTTTTCCCGATTTCTTTTTTAATTGGACGGATTGATTTTTTTGGCCTGGTTTTTTTCCGATTCCTTTTTTTTAATCGGACAGATTGATTTTTTTTCGCCTTTCTTTACACGGAATCGTCATTGTTTTTTGCCCTTTTTTTTCACCCGGTATTTTTTCGCAGGTTTTTTTTGCCCGATTTCTTTTTTTTTAATCGGACAGATTGGTTTTTTATTTTTTTCGCCCTTTTCTTTACACGGAATAGGATTCTTTTTTTTTTCGCCCCTTTTTTTTCATCGTGTTTTTTTCACCCGATTTTTTTCGGATGATTTTTTTCGCCCGATTTTTTTGCACGGACGACGGAAACACCTCATATTTTTTTAAGTACTAGCAAAAATGCCCGTGCATTGCAACGGGTGAAAAAATTCTAATAATCATGTCAATGACAATATTTGTATTTTAATGAGCGGCTTGTTTTTTTTATAAACGGTGTTTTTTTTTCTTGCACGATTTTCTCAAACCATTTTTTAGAAATAGCGCATTTCTTTCTAACAGTTTTTTCATAGCATGTTTTTTTTAATGATGACGAAAACCATATTTTTCTCCCCTTTTTTGTTTTGCTTTTCTCGCATGTTTTTTTTGCCTATTTTTGCTGACAATTACTTTCTCCGTGGTTTTTTTGCCAGTTTTTTCTGAATGTGATTTTTTGCTTTTTTTCCAATACATGAGAATATATGACGAAATAAAAGCCATGTAGTAGATGGTAAAAAATTGATGGATCCTATCCGACTCAAGCGTCCATCAATTTAGCTTTTTTCTGACAATTTTTTCAGAGCGATTTTTTTATATAGATAGTTTTTTTTCTTGCGTGGTTTTTTCAAACTATTTTTTTTAGAAATGGCGCATTTTTCTGACAGTCTTTTCCTCGCATGTTTTTTTTAAAAAGTTTTTGCCGACAATGGAAATAATTTTTCTCACGCGTTTTTTTAAGAAGATGGAAAAACCTTTTCAACGTGTTTTTTGCGCTTTTTTCTGACTTTTTTCTCACACGTTTTTTTGATCGTTTTTATTTTCTCGTGCATTTTTTTATTTTTAAATAGTTAGATTAGATTAGAGATAGAGAAGAGATTTATACTGATTAGAAATTGGACTTTGTTTCGTCCTTTCTATTTTTTTCTCGCGTGCATTTTTTATTTTATACGAACCAGCTTTTTTTGCCACTTTCTTAGGGAATCGGATGAACTTTTTTAGATGTTTTTTCAGATTTTTTCACCTGTAACTTTACAGGAATCAGACTTTTTTCCCCTTTTTAAAGGAATCGGATCTAGCGTTTTTCTTCACCACTTTTTTTTGCCTTTTATAGGAATCGGGTTTTTTTTCGTTTGCATCTATAGTTTTTTTTCGCCACTTAGGGGAAATAGACTTTTGTTGTTGTTTTTTTTGTTTATTTTCTTTTTTGTGTGGCTTTTCTTTTTCTTTTTATGCACCTTTCTGCCTTTGTTCTATCCCTTTTATTTGTTGTTTTTTTTTAAAAAAGACCAAAAGCACCTTATTGCAAGATTATAGGGACTCAAATGTAAATATAAAAATTACAGGGACTCAAATGCAAATGTACAAACCCAAAAATTAAAATCATATAAAAATAGAGTTCTCTCGACATGTAGGTTATGTTTTTGCAAACAGATCTTCAATCCGACACATCAATTTTTTTTCACCAAGATGTATGGAATATCTTTGAAACTGAGAGAGA